TAAAGGAAAGGTAGTTCCACTGATTATCTTAGAATAGTGAATTCTCTTTTCAGAGCTGGGGAGAGGTCACTTTCTTTGTCTGTTGGGATAAAATAATATCAAAGTTGCAATTGTGCAGCAAGAAGGAGGAAAAAGAGTGGCTGTCAGGTTGGAAGTCAGCAATATGTGCTGCAGGGATTCCACAGGAAATTTTGAGCACAAGAGCAAGAAGATTAGATTTGAATATTAGGGCTCTCTCATCATGACCTAAAGCATAGGAAGGGGTGACCGAGCCAGAAATAGAGAAACAAGAAAATGGTACTGAGACCATGAAGTTGCTCCAGAGGAGCCACCAGATGAAAAGAAGTTGACCTTTGTGGATGGAAAAGACAACACTGATATGGCCAGTAAATTAGTGAACATCTATGGAGTTTGATTTTTCTTCTCTCTGTGCTTAAAAGCTACTATAGGGCGAGGGAAGGGAATAGCTAATTGATAGATGGATGGCATGCTTTGGATGCAGGAGTTCCTGGGTTGAATCCTGAGTACCTCCATAGAAAAATAAAAAAGAAAAAGAAAGGCTAGTGTAAAATATCTGAAGACTGTAGATCCATTCACCATATCGATTAGTTTGCTGTCCTTTTGCCAGCTGTCTTCATACATATCCCAACCACAACCAGGTTTTTCTACAAGAAAATGCTTCAATCCTCTGCAATTCTTTTGTGCAACATAGTTTTATGGAAATCTTGTTGAATGGAGATAGACCTATATGTGTGTGTATAATAGACAGTGGTCAATGTTGTCATTAATACATGTGTGACTACATTCTCTAGGTGAAACATCAGCTTTCTACTCGACAGAGGAGGAAGATGCACCTTCTCCTGATACGGAGGTAGTGTCTCCTTTTGTTACTTTTCTTCTTTTAATATGTAACCATCGAGGGTTGTTAAAACATAAGCGGATGGGTGCTTTGACTTTGCATTCTGACATTTACATTTTCCCATCACAATTCACATATTTTCTAATCTACAATTAATACTGGCGTTCTGTGCTTTCGGTCATGCGAGTTCATGGTACACTTGTGTTAATTTTCCACGCTCAGCTACTGAATGCAGCCTCAGTATCTAAATTCTATGCTTCACATACTTTTCTGTTACAGATTAGTACAAAATATCTAATATAGATAGTTCCAAGTGCAAGCTAGGTGTATATTGAAGATCCTTCTCTTTTTAATTTTTGTGTTGGTTTTTTTCTATCCTCATTTTGGATTGAACAAATGATGTCTCCTATTCAATCTTGGAAATGAGAGCTTTCCATTCCGTTCGGACTAAGTCTGTTCTAGTTTCCCATTTGACATGTTATACTCTATGACAACTCGTCCTTTTGCTCAATCTGCCCCTCCTCGAATCCCCTTCACTTCACCCTGTGTACCTGACCTCTCTTTTAAGGCACAGTCCAGTCTTCCCACCATTCCCTGAGCCAAGACATGCACCAGACTCTTCTCTCCTTTGTGCCCAGACTGGATCCATTGAATTCAGTTGGAGAGCTGTTCAATGATCATTTTCTGTGATGATTGTTTTTCACTTATCCCTGGCTCTTGTACAATAGAAACAAGGATCTGTTTTCCATTTGTATTGCCAGTTTTCCCAGGATAATCCTTATGATTTGATAGATACAGTAAATATTTTCTGTCTCACTGACTGAGACTGAATGGCCAAGTGCATGAGTATGATGGCTTCTGAAGGTGGGTTTTTGTATTCTTTTGTTTTTATAGGAAGGGGTGACACAGCCAGAAATTAAGAAGAAACTGGTACTGAGACAGATGCAGGTTATGAAGGTGCTCCAGCAGAGCCAAGAGATGAGAAGAAATTGATGTCTGTGGATGGAACAGACACAGATGACATGGCTGTTAAATTAGAAGATCTATGGAGTTTGAATTTTCTCACATCTGTGCTTATTAGCTGGTCTGGGCAAGGGAAGGGTATAGCTGTTTGGTAGACGGATGGCATGCTTCAGATGCAGGAGTTCCTGGGTTCAATCCCCAGTATCTCCATTAAAAACAAAAAATGAAATCATACTCTAATATATCTAAAAACTGTAGATCCAGAAACCACATCCATTACAGTTTGTTTTCCTTTTGTCAAATGTCTTCCTACATAGCCCAACCATGACCAGGTTTTTCTTCAAGACAATGGTTCCACTCTCTGAAATTCTTTTGTGCCCCATTATTTTATGGAAAAGTACTTCAATGGTGATAGACTTATATGTGTGTATACAATGGACACTGGCCAGTGTTGTCATTAATATATGTATGACTACATTCTCTAAGTGAGACATTACCCTGCTACTCAGGAGAAGAGGAAGACGCAGAGTCTCCAAATGCGGACTTACCGTCTACTTTTGTTGTTTTTCTTCTTTTAATATCTAACCATCTTGGGTCGTTAAAAGAAGTGGATGGATGCTTTGACTTTTTGTTCAGATGTTTGTGTTTTCCCATCTCAATTCTTGACTTATGTTTTCCAATCTACAACTAATAAAGTCCTTCTGTGCTTTCGGTCATGCGAGTGCATAGTACACTTGTGTTAATTTTCCAGGCTCACCTACTGAAATCAGTGTTTATACCTAAATTCTTTGCTTGGAATACTTTCCCGTTACACATTAGTACAAGCTTTTAAATACAGATAGTTCCCTGTGCAAACTTGGTATATTTTGAAGATTCTTCTGTTTTGTTTTGGTCTTTACTGCACTCCTCAATTTTGGATCCGTCAAGTGATGTCTCTTATGGAGTCTTGCAAATGGGGCCTTTCCATCCTGTTCCCACTAAGTGTGTTCTAGTTTTCCATGTGACTTCTTATGCTGTTTCCAACCTCGTCCATTTGCTCAAGCTACCCTTCTTTGAATCCTGTTCCCTTCCCATCTGCACTTGGCCTGCCTTTGAAAACACAGCCCGGTCTTCCCAGCATTCCCCGAGCCAACACATGCACCACACTCTTCTCTTCTTTGTGCCCTGAGTGTCCGTTGACTTGAGTTGTACAGCTTTTGAATGGTCCTTTTGTGCGCTGATTGGTTTTCACGTGTCCCTGCCTCTGGTACAATAGAGAGCAGAATCTGTCTTTCGTTTGCATTGCCAGCTTTTCCCAGGATAATGCCTATGATGTGGTAGATACAGTAAATATGTTCTGTCTCACTGACTGAGAGCCTGAATGGCCAAGTCATGAGTATGATGGCTTCTGAAGGTGGGTTTTTAATATTCTTTTCTTTTGTTTTTATAGGAGAGGGTGACTGAGCCAGAA